CAGTTCCGTGAAATGCTTCACTGGTCTCGGAGTCTTCTAGCTATGTCCATCTTTTGTTTTACCTCCACCGTACATTCAGAATACCCCTTTTGTTGACCGATCATTTACGACTACAACCTACGCGGTTGTCGCCTAGCGTTAATTCTACGGTTATATTCTTTATACTTAAATTTAACAAGGTGCTTTATGCCGAAACTGGTCTTGCCGCGTTCGGATAGTATGACCTTCATTTATTAACGATCGACTGCCCGGATCCTGTTTCACTCAGTCCATTCAATTCGTCCACCACCATAAAGCCGTGTCTGTTTTTCGAACCAACATTTAAGCAAGCCGCGCGAATTATTGCATAATATATAAAAGTGGTTGGTCGGTGGCCATAAGTCAAATGATGAGGAATTCAGGTTTGTAGTTTCCTTTTCCTTTCTGACGGAAACATCTAAAAGGGTCCTAATTCTTTGTATTTTCTTCCATCGAACCTTTTAACTGACACTTTACTGTGTCTGTTTGTTTTTAGGCGTAGATGACGTCAATCTTTAAGTTTATATGGTCGGCTGCAGTACGTTTCTTGGGTTACTCCATCAAAATACTGCTAATCACTTTCTCATTTGCTTTTACATGTTTTTTACTAACACCTTTTACACATTGCCTGTAGCCTTTGTTTCAAAAATGTATAAATTCAGAACTACCTGGCTGTATTTTTAGTTATCATTTTGTTCATCAATGTAAGATCTTGCGCGTTTGTTAGCAAAAATTTCTAAAGCGCTTACCAAAAAAATTGGGTCCCGTTTTCTGTTTACGGCTGGTTACGGAAGGTAAGACGACAAACTGACTCAAAATTTGGCTGTGTTTCCGTGGGCCACTTTTATTGCCATGTGTTTACGTTTCACAATAATTGTGCGTGTCATCTCCAAGCCGAATCGTTGTTTTTCTTCATTATCACTAGTAATGCCCAACACATACTTCCTAACCTTCCTGTGGCCTACAATTCAGACAGCTAACCTCTTAAGTTCTCCAATCTTAGAATTTTCACCTTTTATTTTGTTGTCACAATCGGGAAACGTGGCGCCTCGTTTATTGCTCAGAATGCGACATTTTCCCCAATGGTTTCGTTTGCACAACAGTAGCCTTTATTCGGTGGTAACCATCTTACCCTCTTTGCCGCTCTCTCTGATTTCTACTAGTGCGCCGTTTGCTAATTTCCAGCTTATCTCACAATGATGACAACAACGGCCCATAATTGGTTCACTCGTGCGAGTGCTTCTCTGTCTACGCTTGCTTCTTTTTTTACGCGGGTAATTTCCAGTCCTTCCTTCGTTATCTTTGTTTTGTCGTTAACGCTTACGCTGCATGTACCCGCCGCAACATTTTATTGCTTTTGTTACATACCTGTCAGTCTTTAACTTATGCATTCGAGTCTTGTACTGAAAACTTACCACCTATGAAACGTGTGAAAGGTATTGCAGGTTCCTGCTAAAAAAACGGACTGGCCATCTGAAGTCACCATTGGAAATTAAATGCTATTTCAAACCCTTTTTCCTGCAGGCTAGTTCAAGCTAGATGGCGAAAGCGCCAAAAAAAAATGAAAAATTGACAATTTAGCTGCTTACTCGAGGGAGTATGGATAATTTAAGTCATGTTTTACTCGATCGTTCGCTGGTAATTGATAGTTTCCTATTTTTAACGGTTGTCTCCTAGCTATCCAGCGTTTCCACAGTCTTCCTCAGCCGTGTCCTTGTTTCACATTGAAAGTTTGTATGTGTTAACTGGCAGTCTAGCATGGGCAGCATGTATACAGATTAGGAATACGCGTTTGATCGTCAACCCACTCATTAACTACCAGCGTGTTAGCGGCTAGCACGTAATGGATGTTCCCCTCAGAGGCGGCTGACCGCGAAATAAACCAAAGACCTGCAGTATACTTAAAACAGGCTGAATTAATCGCGTGTCGTAGCTCTCATGACGGCGTCAACTAAGACAGGAGTTGGGAGAAATAGTGTTGCGAGTACGCTCAATTCGAGTCAGTGGATTGCGGGACTGCTCCAGCAACTCTTACATCGTCCGAAGGTGTGCGATAAATGTAACGTTTAAGATAATGTCCCTAATTGGAAGCGGTTGTATTCTCTGGAGCAACCAATCTTATCATGCGTTTATATTCTTCAGGTCAGCAGTTTGTAGAGCCACGCTTCACAACCTTAAAATGTTATTGCTGACAGTAGCTATATAAACACGAATTCCTCTTCTGTGGAATCTCGCAGTGATATAGTGGGGGTGCTCAGTTTCGGTACAGCATGTGCTTGAATTGCTTGTCTTCTCGGACGTTTTCATCCAGGTCACCGAAGGAAAGGGGTTATCGCTGTGAAACCAAAAAAATGTTTTTTTTTTCATCGTTCAGTTTTAGACAGGGTTTGTTTGAGGCATAGATTACATAGCCGAGAGCTGCTTGCATTCCTTAGTGGAATTTTCTAGTACCGTTTGATCACCATTAATGGGCTCTGAGACTGCATCCTGTCCCACCTGACTGCCCTTTTAGCCATTTACTTCTGTGAGCAGAACTGGGTCGATCACGTTCTTACGGAGTATTGGTAAAACGACAATCTTTTTGGCAGCCAACGTTAACAATAAAATATATTCGAATTTTTCACCGTAACTTGTCATGCAAGTACAGAGGCATGCTTGCTGCCCTCTTTGCTTCTTACACTGAACGACAGTCAAGGACCATGCTTGTATACAAGAATGTAGTCAGCCGGTGGGGTATTCTTTCATACTGTGATAACAAAGCCAGCAGGTATATTTTTGCGCACCAAAATCCAGTGACAGCCACACCAATTCTATCAGCTGTAGCACAGTTAAACATTGATCACTATTGTTTTATTGATTACCCGTAACAACTGTTTGAAGATGGTAGGATGTCAGGTCAAACTTTCCACCTCCTTCCCCCTAAACATTTTGCTGTCACGAGAAGGTATAGAAAATTTTTAGCCACATGCGGTTTGTGCATCGGGAAACAGGTTCCCACAACACAAGCAGTTTCTTTGCTGATAAAGCACTTTGGAAAAGATGGTTTTATTCGGTGAATTTTTGAAGCTGGAGCCCCGCTTCGTCTTCAGATGTAAAGAAAAAGTGGGCCAAAAAGGCTAACAACTAACTGCGAAAGTCCGTGGGAAAACCAATAACGCCGTGGCGTGGCGCTTGCGCCAGTACCTTGTTGCGGCGTTTTTCATTCCCTTTGGATTGAC